TCCTCGCTAGCTCGGGGAGACCGGCTCTAATTTTTACTCCTTGCTTGGGGTCGTCGACGAGTGGGACAAGCTCGAATTCTCCATCTGGGATGAGGCGCATCGGATGGGCGGCTTTGCTGCTACTAGAGGGGGCGCTCAAGGATGATTAGATCTCTTTCGCCTTTGCCCTTTAAGTCTTCTGGTCGTCTTCGGAGAAACGACTGTCGAGGTCGATAGAATCGATGCGAGGAAGCAGATTCACCTCGTCGAAGCTGCTGGGCAGGGGAGACTGGGCAGGAGTCTTCGGTCTGACGGTGATGGCATTCAGTCCCTTGGACGCTGCTTCAAAGCATCTCCTCGCGGCTTCTATGTCCCCGTGCAGTGTTACGACAGGGCCTTTGTAGGTATAATATTTCATCTTCAAGTGTATTGTTGAAGGTACGACCACCAGCTCGACCAAAGTTGGTCATCTAAAGATGCACTAGTATAATGACGAACATTCTATAACCAGGAATTGTACCTTGATTAATCTGGTCGTTTCAGTGGATCCGAAGGTTACAATCAGCTCAACGTAACCCCAGGGCTTCGTCACTGATTCATTAAAACCATGTAGGTCAGAGCCCATGTAAGGAGTCAAATGTGACTCATCCAACTGGAACGTGTATAACAGATGGGAGTACATAATATCCACGAAGCTGCCTTGGTTGACGAGGATTCGTCGAACGTCAAAATTTGTCATCCGAGCCCTTTCGAGCAAAAGGATACTGACGTTGATTTCTCCACCAAGGAACTCCTCGCGATAGAAGCAGATGGGGACATAATCTCCTGGGACCCTGTCGAGGGTGGAGTTCCGGTTGGAGCTGTTGTTGATGAGGTGCTTAAATTTCCTCTTGACGAACCCTACCGTCACTTTATTAAAACCTCCTCCGTAGATGACCATGGTAGAGGGAAACGTCTCCAACGGGTTATGCATGGAAAAATAAGGAGGGACGTTGAGCCCCTCGGGGATGCAAAAATCTTCAGGCCGTGAGACGCTCATGGCGACCTGAAGGTTGGCTTCCTCAAAGGAAAACACTTCTTCTTCGACCTTCTGGGACTCTTGGGCGTTTGGCCGAGGAGCTTCCTTTTGTTTGGCGAACTGCTTCAGATGTTCATCTCTGATGAGTACTTCGATGACATCCTTCAGGTGGATGCAGTATTCAGTCGTATGGCCATGACTCATGTGAAATCAACAATATTTGGACTTATCATTGTTGGGTTTGAACGATATCTGCTTTGGGAACCAGAATCCTGTCTGCCAAAATTCTGAGTTGGCGCACTCAGTGAGGATCTTCTCTCTTGAAACAATAAGAGAATGTATTCGTGGAACCAGCCAGAGGGTCCCTTGTTGTCTCGGGGCTCACGGGGGACGGTCTTCTCGTCTCTTATCTCCTCAACGGACCTGGATGGTCGGGCGTTTGCCCTGTGCCTAGAATTACGAGCAGAACTGGCAGCCTCTTTTTCCTCGTACTGAATGTACGCTTGGGCCTTGATGAGGAAGGCGTCCAGCGTTGTCGCGGATGCCAATAACTTTAGCGAATTCTGTGCGGGAACGGAGCCCGCGTTCAAGCATAAACTTTTTCATGTCATCGGCGGTAAAGACTTGGACGACCTCCTTGTTAAATCTTTCAATGTAGGCTCGCAGGGGTTCATCTCTCCCCTGAATGATGGCCTCGAGGGAGGCTTCGATCTTCGGATGATGGCGAGAGGACGTGAAGTGTCTGGAGAAGAGTCTCCCCAGTTGCCTCCATGAGGTGATGAAGTCGTCAGGAAGCCCTTTGTACCAAGTCATTGCCCTCTTCCTGAGTGTGGTCAGAAATAACCTGCACTTGATGGTGCCTCGGACGCCGCGATAGTCGAGCAACACATCGATGTTTTTGATGTGCTCGTCATGGTCAGGTGTTCCTTCGTATGTGCCTAGAAAGGGAGGTTTCTCTAATCCTTTTGGGAGGCGCATGACCATGATCTCCTGGGGCAACGGGCCGCGAGGCTCGTCGTCGCTGCTGCTGCTGGTCCAAGACGGGGAGCGAGCGTCCTGTCTGTAGGCAGGACGACGGTCTCGTCTGAAAGACGAGGTTCATGCTCGACCCTTGGATCTGGGCGGAGGCGAACGTTGGGATTATGCCTGGTGGCCTATTCTGGTCCTCTTAGGTTGTGGGGAGGGAATGCTGGTTCTGGGGAGAAATCTGGTCGCGTTTGCGGATGGTCAGGGTCTTTGGCTCTAGAGGTGTCTGACGGTTCCTCTCGCGTCGGGGAGGGGGGCTCTGTCGTAACTGACGTTCTTTCCTCAATGGAGAGGATCTCAGATGATTGGACTCTTCCAATGCTCCAATCCTCGCATTCTGGTTGAGGATTATGAGGTTGGTTTTGTTGAGAACCTCGAGGAGGACCGCCATGGCCGGGTCGACTTTGGGCGGAACTGGAACTGACAGTTGTTGCGGGACAAAAGAAACCTCGTCGTGATCTGTATGAGCGGGTGACGAGGAAATATTGGCTCTGTCCCTTTGTCGGAGGACGTCGCTGCCACGAGAGGTGGTGGCCTCATTAACATCAGTCTTGCTAACGGGGAGAAAAACAGTGTTACGGGCATCAAGATTGTTGTCACGGACGACCATGATAAAAAATTTGAAGAATTGTTTTGGTCTTGTGTTCTACGAAGAGAGAAAAGATGGGGATAACAAGTTTCCCACAGACGGCGTCACTGATCTTACTAGTTGATAAAAACCTGAGATAGGCCAAAGACAAGCGTCTGTGATGCTGAGTGTGAAAGAGGAGGAGATGATGTACTTGTAAGGCATCCCGATGCTAAAGTAAGAAAACGAGCAAGAGAGAGAGTAAGTACAAAATATGAGTGTTTCAGGGTGAATATTTTTGATACACGACCCTCTCAAGTGAGAGGGGTCTCTATTTTCACGACGAGATAACCGTTTCCCGAAGAATAGGTAATTGCCAGAACTAGCCGTTGGGACGGGCAGACGTGCCCATAACTAACCGTTGGCATGAGCAAAAGCGTAGTTACGGGTACAAGCATCTTGACTGTTTCTGGATGGTGGAACAATGCGTGACGGGCAGAGACTGACGGGGAGGAGTGTTGTGGCCAAGGATAAATTGGTTAGCCTCCCCCGTTAGAGGGGCAAAAAGGTAAATTCTTCCCCCAAAGTGGTTGGACTTAAAAAATTGGACCGTTTTAGGAGTAGAAGTGGGTTGAGTCACGCCTAACCATTGAGTCAGTCCGAAACATAATCATTTCATTATATGAATTTTTTTAAGAATTTAAAGGTAAAAAAAGACATAATTAGTTGAATTTTTGATAAATAAATCAATCATAGAAAAATGCATAAATATTTTAGGTGATGATTTGAAGAGTATATTATAGGTTAATAATGATGTTATATGCATGATTTGATGATAAAATTAGAAGAATATAATGGATTAGGTGAAATGATCACTAGAAACCTATTTGTAAAGATGGTATAACTTGATTATTTAAATTAAAACTTAGATAAATGTTTAGCCGTTTGTTAAATTAACTTATAGGATACTAGAAATCGATTGAATAGTCCAGAAGATGTAGTTAAAAAAATACATGTTAATTTTTATTAGGCTACTATGTCTTAAGTTTGATTTCAAGATCTCATAGTTGTGTGTTCAAGTTTATTATAGTTATTGTCATTTTTTCTATAAAATAAAAAATGATTGAACGAGGTAAAAGTCAGATGATTATTTAAGGCAAATAATTATCTAAAATGATATGAATTTGAAATGTAAGAATAAAAAATAAACAAGCAAAGATGGTAAAAAATATATTTAATATTTTAAAAAAACTTGCATATATTTCAAATTAGGAGTAAACTTCAAAAATAAATATATAATTATTTATTTTATTGTAAAAATTATTATTTTATAGAAAACAAATAACTGTCATTTCAATGCCCAATCACAATCTAAATATTTATATTGTTTAACTTTTCTCAATCAAACACATATCATTAGAATTATCTTCATCAGTTCACATTTCATATAGCTTAAGCACATTTTTCACTATAAACATTTATAGAAAAAATATATTGTAACTTGACATATCTACTAATTTTGTTTTTTATCAATTTATTTGTGTTTAATCAAATTTACGATATACTATATTAACGTGAAAATATTAATTTCATATTAAATTTTGATCCTCTTTTGACAAATTATAAATTTCACCAATAGTATTTATATAAGCTTAATTTTTGCATTTAGCAATTTTTGTGTGTGTAATGTAAAAAATGAATTTACCTTTTTATCCGAAAAAGTAAAATTGTCTAAAAAACAAAAAGAGAAGATAATAACCGTCAACAAGGCGGAAAATGTAAGTTGAAAATAAGTTGAAGTAGCCACTGAAGCGTCGGCGTCGGGTTCTAAAATATCTCGGATAAGCGAAAGAGCTGAGCAAAGCCGCGTTTGGCGGAGCAGCGCCACTGAATTCAGGCAAGTCCACCGTTTCTCTCTCACACACACCTTTTTCAAATTCTTTTTTCCCCTCATCTTACCCTTTCTCTTTGCATTCTCATTTTAATCTCTCACTCTGTCATGCACCGGAGCTAAACGCAACCCTCTATCGCTTTGCTCCGGGAATTTTTTTTTTGAAAATTTAAAATTTCTTCATTTTTATTACAAAACTTCAATTTTGTGTGGTTGGAATGTTGTTTGTTTGCTACTTGCTTTTCACGCCGGTTTTATTTTTCTCTGATTGCCCTTTGCCCATACACTTTCTTGCTTCCATTTCCAATTTTCGCTGAAATTGTTTTTTTGGGTTATTCAGGAGTTAAGAGGAGTATGTTTTAACTTCCATTGCCTTTTGAGTAGTGTTCACCGTTTAAAGTTACTGTGTAAGTAAATCTGGCTAAAATCTTGGATCTTGGAAGCTTGTGTGGCTCCAATCTGAAACCCTAATTTTGTTCTGTTGCAAAATAGGGTTTTGTCGTTGTTTTTATTTTGATATGAATACTGAGGAAGGAATGAGAAATCCTGATGACACTGAGGGTACTGAAGGAGTTGTTCACGGTTTGAAACTCAGGGCCGTTTCTGATGAGGTGCCAATTTCCAATGGAGATGGTGTTTCTGAAGAGACTCGGCATTTGAAAAGTGAACCCATGAATGGTGATTGTTATTTTGGTATAGGAACTGAGGAAGGAATAAAAAGTCTTGGTAACTGTGAACATGCTGAGGAAGTTCAGTGTTTGAAATGCAAAGCCATTTCTGATCAGGTGCCGATTTCTAATGGGAATATTGTTACTGAAGAGGCTCGGCACTTGAGTAGTCAAGCCATGAATGATGAGTGCTGTTTTGATATGGGAACTGAGAAAGGAATGAGCAGTCTTGGTGACACTAAATGTGCTGAAGGAATTCGGTGTTTGAAACGCAAAGCCATTTCTAATGAGGTACCAATTTCCAACGGGAATGGTGTTGCTGAAGAGGCTCGACACTTGAAAGGTGAAGCCATGAGTGATGGGGTGGTATTTGCCATTGGAAATGGTGTTGCTGATGTGGCTGGGGTTTTGAAAAGTGAAGTATCGAATAGTGGGTTTAATGGAAATGGTGTATTTGAAGAGGATCGACACTCAAAAAGTGAAGCCATGAACAATGGGGTGGTATTTGCCAATGGAGATGGTGTTATGGATGTGGCTAGGGTTTTGGGAAGTAAAATGTTGAGTAATGGGATGAATGGAAATGTTGTATTTGAAGAGGATCAACACTTGAAAAGTGAAGCCATGAATGATGGGGTGGTATATGCCAATGGAAATAGTATTACTGATGTGGTTGGGGATTTGAAAAGTGAAGTATCAAATAGTGGGGTGAATGGGAATGGTGTTTTGAAAAGTGAACTCATTATCAATGAGGTGCCAATTGCAGATGAGTTTGATTCTGGTGACGGGGGCTCTGGGGGACTTACATGTCTTCGAACTTATAAGAGGCGAAAATATGATAAGTCAAGCTCAAAAGGCAAAGCTCAGGTGGATTGCAGAAAGTATGTGGAAACTGCAAGTCATATAGCAGACCAGGTTTTACCCTCCTCCTTTGTTTTCCATTATGTGTACAGTGTACCTATGTGTCCAATGTCTGTTGAGACGCTAAAACTATGGCGTGAGAAGGGGCGATTACATTTTTCTTCCTTTTCATTATATTACAATATTAATTTATTTGATCTCATCAAAGTCCTGCTGATGGGGTTCAATTTTTACGTCTGCATCACTAGATAATATGATCCAGTCCCTTGAAGAACAATACATTATCTTAATTAGTTTTTGAGTGCTGTATTTGTTTCTTATTTTTTAATTGCAGGCTGTGAAGGAACCCTTTGATGCAACTTTCGGCAATACTGCAGATGATTGTGCCCATAGACATCGGGGGAATGATGTACTAAAGCATTTATATCAGTCATTAGGCAATGTCGATGGTGGCATAGAGGGGTGCATAGGGCAAGCACTAATTCACCATCCTCAAAGAAGTTGTGCCCCCACTGTTATGGTTGGTTCTTCTGCTAAAACTACCCGTTGTGCACTTTCTTGACTTATCCCAAGTACTCTGGATTCATTTAATTTTAAGTTCCAACTTATTTTGACAGCAGGGAACTTCTAAAATTGACAGAGATGGACATGAATTCTCTTCACACTTTGACCACTTATCTCATAGACCACAGACTGAAGCTAATGGGCATGCACATGTCATGCAAAGTGGATCTTCTAGTGAACCCCATGGCGATGGTGTGACTGAGATGTGTCAGCGTGTGCTGCACAATATATTATCCTCAGAAGAATTCAATTCATTACGCAAGATTTTACTTGAAAATTTCCAAGGAATAAAGCTTGAAAGTGTATTTGATTTTAGTGTCACGAACTCAAGGATGAAGCAGAAAACTTATGAACAATCACCTGCACTTTTCTCGTCAGATATTCAACAGGTATTTTCTAGCAGTCTCTTTATAACTAGACAATTTATTTACCTATATGGTGCTTGATGCAAGTTAAGAGTCACTTATGACTGAATGTCTGGTTTACCTAAGACCATGATGTTGGGGTCTGAAGTCTTATGGTTGATGTTTATGCATTCTTTATCATCTACAATCCATAATCTTGCTCTAATTCTAGATATTATAATTAGTGTATATTCAATCAGTAGTACTTTCTGCATCAATTTTTGAGTTTCTACTTCTTACTTCTCACTTTGAAGAGATCCTTTATTTAGACCATTATTGTCGATGGCGGTCTATAGCATTCAGATCTGTTATTGCGGAAAAACCCGCAATAGCGGCCGATATTTACCATTGCGGCGAGCCCAAAAACCGCCATAGCGAGGCAATTTGATAACACTGATTTAGACAGTAAATAAGGGCTCTTTCTACTAGAAACAAAACTATATAAAAAATAATTCACATGGCAATATCAGTACTTCATTTTTAAAAGTTTGATGTGCCAGGTTTTTTGGTTTATATAGTTAACAAAGGGATTATCCATGATAAAAAATATCTTCCATTCATTACATTTATAGTGCGAAAGAGGAGGCAGTGGGTGGACTTTTGTGTGGATACATGTGCATAATTGGAAAAATGAGCTGACTTACAGTATCAATGTGTTTGATGATCTGCAGTTGCATTTTATAGTCCTTTCATGTAACTTTCTTGTGCTGTCTTGATTACCTTGTTTTGGCTTTGTTTTGGTTTTGTTGTCCAAATTACTGATAGACTTGAATTTAAACCGTTAATTGAATGATTTGGATTGAAATTGTTTATCACGATTCACGGCGGCGTGTGTTTGTAGGAGTTCCATAGTAAAAGTGCCATCTTATTCTGTTTTATAGTTTGTATTTTGCACTTAGCACTTAGAAGTTTGTTATGCTACGTCTCCTCTGTTTATGCTCTTTGAGGTTGATACTTTTAAGTATTTTCTGCCTTGTTCTTGTAAAAATATGAAGTATGTACAATTCTAGAATCTCAGAATAGTTGAGTCAACTGTTTTCTGTGTGATAAGTATTGGGAGTTCAGTTGTGATAGTTGGCGACATCTTAAGTGTAAGCAGGGGATCAAACCTCACATGACCAGCAAGAGAAATTTACAGGAGATAACTACCTGCACATGTTGCAAATGAAATGTGATTTAACTTGTAGTAAATGAGGGTCTGTTAGGAAATTGGGTCTAAGGGGAATATAAGCGGGAATAGAGGACAGATAGGTGAAGGAAGGAAGCGAATAAGGGAAATGATTAGAGAGAAATAGGCCTCATGAATTGCCTCGGGCATCATATTTCTTTTTCATTGTTCAGAGTGATTTCATAGCCGTATCTGTGTACACTTACCTCTGTTATTAATTGCAAACTGATTTCAAAAGCAGATTTATAGTAAATAATAAATATTTTAAGCTCTGCATGAAAGACAAATTTTCAGTTAATTTGTTTTCCATTTCATTGTTGTTTAACTAGTCAGTTAACTCGTGAACTCATGCTAGCTCTCTTTGAATCAAATCCTTGTTAACTCGTACAAGGCTACTAGCTTGCTCAGACTCCCAAGTTTACACACAAGTTAGCGAGTCCGAAAAACTCAAAACATAGGGAAAACTTTGAGCTGCAGTCTTATTTTTCAGATCCTGTACGCTGCATTTCACTCAGACTCCCCCCACTTTGTATTCAAGCCACACTTCACCTTGGGTTTTCTGCTGCTTTATGCTTCCACTCCTGCTTCCTTACGCCTCCACGACTTCGGTAATCTTTATTACATATTTTTTTAATCTTATGGTTTAGACTCTGTTACTTCATAATGGCTACACTTTTTGCTCTGTTCAGGATAGTAAGTACTTCCCTCTTGCCGACAAATTACAAGCTATTCTTAGCTCACTTTATTCACCATTTATTTATTATCTAATTATCGATTTTATGTTTTGTTCCTACGCACTGTGTTTGTTATTTGCTACAATTTGGAACCCTATACTGTAAGTGAGCCATCGTGGAACATGATATTGCTGCAATTCATTTAATTTGCTACTTTGATTTATTATGGAGTTGAAGTGTTGGAATATATCTTCAACAATTATGTTCATGGTATTATGCAAGGTTCTGAAAACCGGACTGGACCAGACCAGTTCAACAGCTCAAAACGGGAACTGGACCTATATCCGGTCCAATTAGTCACAAAACCCGTCATGTAGAAAAACTGGACTTGTAACGATAACCTCAGAACTGGTGTAAAATCGCTGAAACCGGACAAAATCGATTGTGACTGCTTTATCACGGTTTTGATAAAAAAATGCTCGCTGCTATAATTTATATACTCTGTTGCGTTGTTACCTCATCGATGAGGGACTTTGCTTTCTAGCTTTCGTATTCTGAATTTTATTATGGGCAAGAAATCAATTTCTTATCTCATGTATTATCGCATTTCTCTACCACCATTTCACTTATGTGAGAAATCTATTTCTTAATCCACTGAAACTAGGGTATACCTATCATGTCTTCACATGTCATAAACCATTATTCTACATGTCTGTCTTCCTTACTCCAGTCGAGAGTTTTATCCTTCATGCATCCACTATTCTATCCTGCCTTTGCCACACATATTCTTAAGCTTACATCATACATTATACCTTATTATTCTTATCCCCATTCCTTTAACATCCATGTTAACCTTTCATTTTTAGCATAAACTATTAATAAATGGATGATCACGAATGAGTGATTTTTTGTTGTAATATGTTATATATAATGTTATTTTTTGTGTAATATTATTTAATTTGATATTAAAATGTTGAAAATATTATTTAATTTGATATTAAAATGTTGAAAAATATTATTTAATTATCAGTTTATCACCAATTTGACTGCAGTTGAACCCTGGTTGAACCTTTATACCTATATTTTCTTGTATATCTGCACATCCACCTTAATATTCTTCTCCATTACACTTGTTTTATGGCTATTGTTGTTGGCACTTTTCTGCCTAACACTCACTACTGTATGTGTTGATAACTGCCAGAAGTTAGTTACTGTCAGTTATTAACTTGCTGTACAAGTTGAGTTTATATTAGAAATAAGACTGTAAGTATAAATGGGTAGAACACATTTATTTCTTTTGACTATCTCTTAATGTTTAATGCTATTTATATAAAAATGTTGATTTGAAGTGGTTGATTTATCGTGTATGACTGCTAGGAGAAATCATAATATGATCCACTAGGTGGTTATTTTAGTTTTGTTTGAGGGTATTTCTTAATCTGTTCCATGTTAGTTGCTGGTTCTTATTTTGTACGGCTATTCCTGATTTGTAATCTAGGTCTGGAGTAAGCTTCAATATGTTAGTCACGAGATTTCTGCTCTTTCTAAGAGCCTCTCCAACATGTCAACAACTTTCTATTCTGAGCTGGTAATCAAATTTTTGTCAAATCACATAAGTTTCACAGTTTGTTCTCTGCTCGTATTTGCTTTCCTTGTGTAACCAACAATTTTCCATACCTTCAGGTTGGAATTTCAGCGCAGAGCACATTTGAAGATGAAAAACAAGTGGTAAGAGTTTTAAAACTGCAGTTTGATATTTCAAGAGCTGATCCATGCAGATATTAGATATGTTATAAGATATATTTACAATTTAGCTATTTTTTCTTACATTGCATCAAGGGCAGCAGTCAGACACTGTTCTGTAGCTGTATGTACGGGAGATACATTTATGTCCTCTGATATATTGAGAATATATGAGATAACACTGTAAAAATGATTTCATTTTCATGGCTGCTAATTAATTAGAGATAGCTATCTATCAATTTAGGAAAGAATTATGGAAAAAACAGTGAAAACTGCAATATGCTATTAATTAGGACTGACTAATTAATATTAGTCAGTTATTATGAGAAACACAACATTTGAGACCAAAATTACGCCATTCCGTTTTATTTTGCTGTGGCTGTAACTCTTCCACAAGTAAATTCTTCATTTCCCTCTGTTCCAGTCAGAGATCAGAAATTTCTTCACTTGTGTTGTGTTTATGCTTTTCTTTTGAAATTTGAAGATTTTTAAAGCACGAAGCACAATGGCATTATATTATAGCTATATCACCATAGTTTATTGCTGACCAGTTTCATGCATAACTGATCAAATGTATTAATTGTATGGAAAATCTAGTGGTATATTAATATATCTAGTGGTTTATTAATATGAAATGGTACATTTTATTTTCTGTGAAGTTTTTCTGAGATACATGATGGGATCAAATACTTGAAATTTTAGGAAATGATTTTCTGATCATACATGATACTTACGAACCTAATTATATCTATTTGGTTCCAAGTGTATATATCATTAGTGATTATAGGATCTGCTGCAAGAATGGAAATATTAAACCCTACCTATGAAGCATGGACACCCCCCCTAACACGACCCCGACAGTGACACGACGGCACTGATAATAAATTGAAAAAGTGAATAAATTGAACGTAATCATAAGTGTCGGTGCAGGCGTCCCACCCCGACACGGACACGGACACGGACACACTGTTTTTCAGAGGTGTCCGTGCTACATAGAACCCTACAGTGGGAAATATTTTCTTCAAATTTTTTTATCTCTTTCTTTTCTCTAGTTGACAGCAAATGACTTGAAAAAATAGGTTCCAATTCCCAAGCCTAAAGGATTTGCTTGAATAAAACTGGACGGGGACTTGTTTAATTTATGAGTACCAGATACACTTCATTTGATATGATTAAGGCTTTGATTTGAGATATTTATTTATAATGCTATGAAAATTGTTTTGGTTTTGTCTTTCTAATCAGTTCTTTTTGCCAGGAATCGGACTCGAACGTGAAACCCGAGCAGATGGAAGAATGCACTACCTATAAAATTTGCTGTTGCAGTTGTTGCGGAGAAAGGGCAGATGGCACAGACTGTTTGGTGTGCGATTCATGTGAGAAGGTGTACCATTTGTCCTGTATTGAGCCTGCAGTGAAAGAAATACCTCACAAAAGCTGGTATTGTGCTAATTGCACCACTAGTGGCTTTGGATCTCCCCATGAGAATTGTGTAGTATGTACGAGGTTGAATCACCGAATGACTCCGAAGAAAATAGTTGGTGATGAAAGCCTCATTATAAATGAGGAAACACTTGATGAATTTGAAGAGAATTCAAATTGCAGCTATGATGGGGTTCAAGTGTCTAAAGGTGAGAAAAAAACACGGGATTGCAAAGTGTGTGGAAATGAAGTCATAGATGGTGAAAAAATTAGAATATGTGGTCACACTTATTGCCCAAGTAATTACTACCATGTAAGGTGTTTGACAAGCAAGCAATTAAATTCATATGGTCATTGGTGGTACTGCCCTTCTTGTTTATGCCAAGTTTGCCTCATCGATAAAAACGACGATCAAATTGTCCTCTGTGATGGCTGTGATCATGCATATCACATCTATTGCATGAAACCTCCTCTAGCTTCTATTCCAAACGGGAAATGGTTCTGCAAAAAATGTGATGCTGGAATCAAGGCAATATCCCAGGCAAAAAAGGCGTATGAGAATAACAAGCTGAGGGCCGGTGAAAATGTTTCAAAGCCAAAAGCTAATAATGAAAACAATTGCAACAATAAATATGTAGAAGAATTGGAAAGTGGTGGAGGAATGGACATGCTTTTAACTGCTGCTAATTCTCTGAATTTCGAAGATAATATGACCAAAAACCAGTTTGAGTAGCACATAACATGGGTTTTCTTGAAGAGTTTGTGAGCCTCAGGGTTATTGTTTTAACTTCGTGAACTGTTAATACCCAACTATTTCACATTTTGTGCATTTTTTGGATGACTGATATTTTGGTAGGTTGTATAACATTGGTAGATTTCCTGACTTTTGCATACACGACACAGAAAGACACGACTATAGAGGGTAAAACGCCCAAGGCATAATCAGAAATTGTTGTAAGTTCTATCTGCAAGAACAAGCAGGTCAGATATACTGTAGTATAAGGTGGTTGATATAAAATTTAATTGTCTGCTTTGCTTGTGTCATGCAATGTGTAGTATTTGGATTTGGGATGTTATAGGCCCACATTTCTCTAAATTTGTACAATTAATTTCAGCTACGTTGAAAATCACAAGATTGAGGAGTTTAATATTAACATTTCTTTGCCAGTTCTGCATAAAGATTGTTCTGCATTGCTGCTGTCTTTTATGTGTGTTGTGTTTGGTTAGACAAAGGATAAATGGTTTTAGGGGAGAGGGTTTTACTAGTGTAAATTAAATTTTTTTCACCCTTGTAGCATTTAATGTTAGAATTTAATGGACATGCATGCATCTTGTGTAAGTAAATGTTAGAGTTTATCAGTATGATTTGGTGAGATGCACGATATAAAATTATTGGTGAGATGCACGTTGTTCACAGTATAAAATTATTTTATATTGTCATTACATCTTCTATTTTCTCTTAATTTTATATTATATAAAATGATATTGAACTCTTTATCTATTTTTTAATATATTAAATCATACTTCTAAATTATTTTTGACATCATATTTTTGCCACAATATATTATCTGTGCTATGTCATTTAAATTCTAATGCTCTTTTTATATTGTGTGCCCATTTAAGTCTAGGGATGTGTTCGTCTATGATCTAGCATGCATTTGTATGGATTATTTGGTTAGTTTGCAATGATAAGTTCTTCTCTAGTTCATTAACAAACGTGAAAAAGGTGGTAGATATATATTTTTTTTGGCTTGGTGTTGGTTCTGTAGTTGTTTATATGTGAACCCTTTTCTTTTGACTGACTTTAGAACCCTATTATGTGTTTTAATCAATAGGAGATAAAGAGGCTTGACCATCTTCAAAGGGAGCTCTAGCTGGTATTCTTTGGGCGGAGCTTAGCTGTGTGGGTGTAACACTTGGTTTTCGTGTTCTGTGGTTGGGTGTTTGTTTTTGCTTTTGAGTGTTTGTTTTCTTGTATTTTCATTTGTTTTTCAATTCTCTAGGCACTTCTTATGCCATCGTGACTTGGTTATGTATTTGTGGTTGATATATATATTGCTATTATTTAGTATTAAGTTTTTCCTTATTAACCTTATATTTTCAATAATTAACCAGTAATATATTTCTTAGGTTATGTATTTGTGGTTGATATATATTGCTATTATTTAAATAGTATTAAGTTTTTCCTTATTAACCTTATAATTTCAATAATTAACCAATAATATATTTCTTAGAGTGTATAATTTATATCTGCACAAATAGTTTGATGGGTGCGCTCAATTGCCTAGTCAGACGTTTTAAACTAGTGAGCTGTATACTAAAGAATTGGAGTAATGGTAGGGTTAGTCCGTCGTGTAACTCTTATGTTTGTGCATGTTTGTTAATGCGCATTTCATCAATAGAATAAAATAGAATAGAAGTGGGAGATTCTAACAAAATACCTAATCGCCTTTATCATCGTATCTTATTCAAAGTTAATTTTCTCTTGTTTTTGGATCAAATATTTTTTTCTTTCCAAACAAACCCCCATTTGTTTATGTTAACTTGCACTCACTTTCCTAGTTAAAATCCAATCTTCGTGGAGACAAATTTTATTATTATTATTATTATTATTATTATTATTATTATTATTATTATTATTATTATTATTATTATTATTATTATTATTATTACTTTGACGTTATCGGTACACTAGACGAGGGGTCATCATTCATCTTTCCCAGTTGTGATTCTTGATAATCTAAGTTAACTTTAATATCCATTTAATTGTAAGTTAATTTGCATTCATTTTTCTATCTTTTGCTTATGTTTGTAATTTGCACATGTACATTTGTTAGTAAAATTTTTTTCGTAAAAAATGTTTTTGAAAATGGTTTAAGGGGAATGGTACATTCAACGCCCTTTAAATCATTTGACTTCCCATATTCTCCACCAACATGAAATAACTAATTGATTATCAATAAAAAGACGTGTACTTTGCTCTTAATTCATGCCCAAATATGCTAAGACATTCCTTAACCAAATAGGTTGTTTTACCCTTATTATAGCAACTATAAACTCTGATTCTACTGTTGACTAAGCTACAACTTCTTATTTCTTTGAACCCTAAGAGAATACATTTAAACACATGCTGAAACAATTCTCTGAAGTACTATTCATATCATACAAGATACTATATCAACTCCATCCTTCTTGATGGACTTATCCTTTTGATTAGGGTGGCAAAACGGGTCCGTCCCGCTAAAATGCCTATTTTACCCACATTTTTGTGTGGAGTTAGTCAAGGTTTTAGACCCACACACTCTAATATGATAGCCCCGTTCGTCCCATTTTTTGCGAGTGCATGAAATAACAAGGTGTTTTGCAATTTTTAGTCTCTATGGATGCAAAGTCCGCATACCTGCCTGATCCTCATTTTTTTTGCAAGTAGAACCAAGGTTTAAGGATTTCATCCTCAATAATTCCCTCCCTGCCCCGTTTTTTTCCAGGATTCTGCGAGATGATCCTAAACTGTACAAGTATGTCTGATTTTCACTGTACTTTTAATTCATGGAAGTGTTCATTATTTGCATTCACCAAGTTGAAATTTTTTTAAATTCTCTTTTACATTTTTTTTCCGGACAAATAAAAGTCTCATTCTTCTTTTGAGTGATTTTTATTCCCAAAAAACAAGTCGTAAAGTCAAGATCCCTTATCTCAAAAAATCTTTCATTTCTTGCTTGAATTCTTCAACTGATTCTAAGTTGCTTATCATTACTAAAAAACCATCAACATACAAAGAAATTATTAAAATATCAAAACCAACACGCTTGACATAAAGTGAAGCTTTAAATATGCTCTTTTTAAAGTTCAAGTGCAACGAATGATTATTAACCATGTTGTACCAAACACCCGAGACTTGCTTTAAAGCATATATAGTATTTTTAAGTAAGTAGACGTTTTCTTCTTGGATTTTGATCACAAAAACTTCTGGTTAATCAACATATATATCCTTCTACATGAAATCGTTAAGGAAAACCGACTTCAAACCCATATGGAACATCTGCCACCCCTTTTGTACAATAATGAAAAATGGTATCTTTATTGTGTCATGTATTGCTTCAGGATAAAGAGTTAATAAATAATCAATTTCAAATATTTGAGAATATCCATTCATAACAATCTTTTTCTTAAAGTTGTTTATAGAGCCATTGGAATTGAAATTTGTCATAAATACCCATTTTATGTCCATGACCTTTCTATCATGAGATCTTAGAACTAGCTCCTCATGCATCACAACTATCCATTTGTCATCCATTCACTACTCCAATGATTTTTCTCGATTGTGGACAACTCCTCATGCATTGCAGCTATCCATTTATTCTTCATTCACTAATACAGAATACATATTTAACCTCAATTGGAGATAATGTGTTACATCGGTTTCAAACGCGAGGTAACGAAAGGCGTCATAAAAGTACACTACTTTACCTTTAGATTTTAATTTAACCCATGGATAACGTGTAAAGGTCATAGGTTTGATCCTTAAGGATATCCTTTTTATATTTCTTAAATGGCCAAAACACCTTTCCCTTTGGGTATGACATTTCACCAATGAGTACAAGACCTTTCACCTCAGTTTTGACTTTTTATCGATGGGTAAAATACAATTGAGTTTATTACATCTAATGTAGATTGCTTATTTCGGTAATCCCTAACTGAACATATAACTTCTCAAACTGATTAGAAAAATAATTATATGAGCAATTGTGCTATATTTGAAGAACAACTTACATTAATTATTATTTGTAGAGTATCTTTGAACTCATCATTCATTTCATGTTCATTAACAGTTAGAATCTCTTCAATGTTTCAAGTTATTTATTCAAAACTTCATTTTTCACTAATTCATTCTTGAAAGCATACAATTTAATGCTTTTCAAAATGAACAAGTATGGAAGAAAGTTGAACGAAAACT